AAAAAATATATATATATATATATATATATCCAAAATAAAAGTTTTTGTTTACATAATATATGTATGTGTAATGTGTTTATTTATTATGTATTTTTTAATGTTAAAGTTAACAACTGCCAGTGTGAGGATACAAAAATACAAAATAACAGATACTGTGATTACTTACCTGAATTCAGTCTGCTATGTGTGTTGTGTGAAACGTTGATAGGATTTATTTCTTTGTTTATTTAACTGTTTATTTATTATCACTGAGTGTTTGTACATATTGATACATTTATTTTCCTAATGTGAAATACTGTGGGTTAAAGTTTCATGGATTGATTGTTATGGTTTGATTAAAGTCAACAAAGAGGACCGCTTGACTAAAGGCAAACTCTTGTCTCTCTTTCGCTTTCTTCATTACAAAAAGACAATTCTCATCTGTTGAGTGGACTTCCTGGGTGGGGTCTGCAACATATAAATACACACATTAAGTATATATTTTGAAAATATTTACATGTATATACATTTATATTATTATATTTCATATTCTAAATTCTATATAAATATATTTAATATATAAACATAACATATTTTTAAAATATATTAATGCATGTGTTTGTATTTATATATTCATAATAAATATACACAGTACACACTCATATATTATGTAAACAAAAACGTTTATTTTGAATGCTATTAATCGTTTGACAGCACTCTCTCGCTCTCTCTCTCTCTCTCTCTCTCTCTATATATATATATACAGTGGGTACGGAAAGTATTCAGACCCCCTTAAATTTTTCACTCTTTGTTATATTGCAGCCATGTAGAACCATCTCAAGGATGATCAGAAGAAATGGACAGCACCTGAGTTAAATATATGAGTGTCACAGCAAAGGGTCTGAATACTTAGGACCATGTGATATTTCAGTTTTTCTTTTTTAATAAATCTGCAAAAATGTCAACAATTCTGTGTTTTTCTGTCAATATGGGGTGCTGTGTGTACATTAATGAGGAAAAAAAATTAACTTAAATGATTTTAGCAAATGGCTGCAATATAACAAAGAGGGAAAAATTTAAGGGGGTCTGAATACTTTCCGTACCCACTGTATATATATATATATATATTCTTGCTCCTTTTCTTAACCATCTTTTTTGTGTTCTTTCACTTTCTTTCCTGCATTCATTTTCTGCCATTCCGTACTGTAAATATGTTATGCGCTGCACTACACTGTCATATTTTTGCTATATTGTTAATATCATGACTTGATATGCTGTCCCACTTTGCCAATATGGTACACCCACTCTATTTCAACATTATAAATTATTATATTGAACAATTACTAGCATTCACTTTTTTGTGTCATATTTTACCTACATTTCTCATTCATTTTTCTTACCATTGCTTCTATGGCAGAGAATAGAGCTCTGTCACATCCCTCAACTTAGAGATTCCATCAGAAACCTAATTATCTGAATCTGTATCAATTGATGAATTCTCTTATGACTCTAGTCTTATTGAAGGAGGAAATTGTCATTCATTTCCCACTAAATGCTTTTGTTGAGTGAAAAGAACATTCATTCTTATTAACCTGACAGGTATCTATCATTCACTGCTATAATGCTGGGACTCGATTACAGTGGTTCTGGATTATGAATGTGCTCACATTCTCTTTCTCTCTATCTAGGAGGGTAATGGGGATGAGGACATGTGAATCCAGGTGTTTATTCAGTGGTTCTAAAGGTGAGGTTTGCTGTGTTGAGCCTCTACATGCTGGACCTGAACTGAAAGATCATCCCATTACCCACTACTCCCTGCTGGCCATGGCCTCACTCACCAAGGTACACTCATACATTCAGTACTTTCTACTGCTGAGTGCTGACTACTCCCTAAAGGTCTAGGGGTGTCACAGTATCACTGTTTTTGTTCAGACCAATTATATATAACTTACCTAATCTTTTATTAGGCTCACATGTGGGGTTTATCGTTTAATAAAACGTTTTTTTGTGTGTGTGTGTGTGTGTGTGTGTGTGTGTGTGAAAACACCTTTATTATTTAAACTGTAAAGATGTTTAAATCATATTTTTTGCAGATTTTATTATATACATTATTGTTGTTTCAAAAGATTTTGGGAAATGTTTGGATTTTTGGCTTTAGGTGGTTCCCATAAAAGCAGCAAATAATCAAACATGCTTTTGTAATCACACCAGTGCAACCAAAATGTAGTTGCACAGGAGAATTTGCAAAATTGGACCATTTAGTTACAGTGTGTGCTGGCCTGGTTCATTTACAGTGAGAATAAACATGTTTTGTGCCAAATTAAAACTGGTGAAACTGAAAAAAAATAAAATAGTGCGCTTAATGGCTAGGCATTTCTCATATTCAGCGCACTGATAAATTTTTTGGCCCAGTGTTTGTTTCATGTGTTCGATTGTCAAATAATACCTCTGCTGCTCTTCAATTCCAAAATGGTAAATTTTCCTTTTCAGCTTGAAATAGCATCTTGATGGGCCTATACAATTCAGGGCAAAATCGATACATTTCAGTCTTTGGTTTTTGCTTGTTTTTGTAAAAAAATTTTGCGGTTTTGGGTTTTCAGTTAAAGGTGACATCATGAAAATCTGACTTTTCCATGTTTTAAGTGCTATAATCATGTTCCCGGTGCATCTACCAACCAAGGAAACGAGAAAAAGATTAACCCAGTAACTTTGTTTTGGTAAGCATTTTTCTGCAAGCGTCTGAGAAAACGAGCGTGCCTGATTTAGCTCCCCTAGTGACGTTGCAAAGGGATCTCATTATAATATTACCGCCCCTTAATCTGTAAGTTTGCACCCACGGCGCCGTTATTGTGTTTTCGCAAGCGACAACGGTGTACTAGTTCTAATGCCATGGTGAAAGTTTGAGCAAAACATGCTAACTGTTCTGTCTTTGGCTGCACAGACGAGCACAGCACACTGTTTAGAGTCCCAGCCTCAGAGGACACAAGAGAGCAGTGGATTTATTGATTTATTTACTGTATATTGCTGCTGCCACACAGATCTAAAATAAATATGCGATTTATTTCCCAGCTGTTTACCTTTACTCGTGTGTTTTTAACGTAAACTAGTGTGTGAATGAGAACTTAGTTTAGTACTCACATGCTGTGACAGCTGCTTTCTGTCCGTGTGCTTCGGATGTGTGCACTCAGAAAACCGTATATCAGAACTGAAGTTTAAACTCATATGGTTTAAAACGCATGATTTCAGCGCGATAAACTTGATAATCAGAACCAAAACAGATGTTTTTAGTAGGTCCGAGCTGTGCAGCTGTATTCTGGAAAAGGGGGCGGGGAGCAGCAGCTCATTTGCATTTAAAGAGACAGGCCCGAAAAACAGCGTGTTTCTGCTTCCACTCAAAATAGGCATTTTCAAAATGTTATAATGAATGATCTGTGGAGTATTTTGAGCTGAAACTTCGCAGATACATGCTGGGGACACCAGAGACTTATATTACATATTGTAAAAAGGGGCATAATATATCTCCTTTAATGTGACATTTGTGTCTTTGAGCACATGCTTTAAAATGGAAGGATTTTGAATGGTTGTTAATGTCTTTTTCGTTCATTAGCTAGAAGAAGATCACTCTAAAAAGTGATTGCAAAGATATTATTTCTCTGTGTCAATTCTGTTATAGTTGGGGTGTGGATTCTGATATTCTCTTTGAGTTGTGACTGAACTTCATTCAGCTAAAAACTCGTGTCCATAACTGCCATTCCACATTGGTCTCAGAGAACAAGTAGCATATAACGTGTAACAACAGTGACAAACAAGCTGACCAAATGAAGTACTGTAAAAAGCAGCTGCTGGCATAATAAGAATGTTTGATATAGTTATATATTCTAATATCACGTGATGCTGAAGGCTGGAGTAATGGCTACCTTAAATTCAGTTTTGCATCACCGAAATAAATTGCATTTTAAAATATATTTAAACAGAAGTGTTATTTTAAATGATAATTATATTTCACAGTTTTACTGTTTTACTGCCTCCGTAAGCATAAGAGCCTTAGAGACCGAACAATCCAAACTTTTGAGCGGTGGTATATATTAGGGCTGGGTTTTGACACAAATTTCACAATTCGATTCGATTCTCATTAACAAGCTTGCGATTTGATTCGATTACCGATTCGATTCAGTATCGATTATTTTGGATACATATCAGGTACAGTAAATGCCAAATTTTCTCAAGGAAAAAAAATCTCTCAACTAATGCTGTAAAATATACATGAGAGTGAGTTGGTACTGCATTATAATATTGAAGGTTAAAGTTGACTGATTTGTGCTGTACAACTGCTTAAATTGCACTTAATTAAGTTTTTATAATAATTAAGTTACAATTACTTCAGTTAGTTTTTTTTTAAATATACACATTTAAATAGTGCCTGTCATAAAAACTTGGACGGATTTATTCAAACATAAATAAAACATTAAAGAACGATAAAAAAGTGATAATGAATGTTATATGGTGCATATTTTTAGCAAAATGCTCTTCTCTACAGTTTATTTTTCTGGCTGACTATCGAGTTTATGGTCACCAAATATGCTTGGTAAATCTGATGTTACATGAATTGTTTACAAGCTGTTATATTGACGTCTTTGCGCGGCTGAAACACTGATTGAGCGATTACATGAGACAGGATACAGATTGTAAAGGTATACTTTTTCTTTTAACTTACCTTCGGATGTTTAGTCATGTTTATTTTGTGCTGAAACTGGTATTAATGTGGAGGAGATGATCAGTTCACGTGCGCCTCGTGCTGCTGCGTCTGTTGAACTGAGGCACTACAGCGATCTGTCACTCCACATTAAACAGCGCCAAAACGGCATTTATTGTTTGAATACTGCAATACAATGGACATAAATTGAAATCTGAGACTTTGTTTCATATTAAAAGTAGCCTACCAACGCACAGTGCTTATTGCGATTTTATTGGATGGTAGGTGCGCTTCAATGTTCCGTCCATTAACTGAAAACAGGCTAGACTAATCGATTCTTGGGATTTAATCTAACTAACTGATCTCGAGATATCTATATTTTTTACCCAGCCCTATTATATATGTCACTGTATCTGCATTAAATGGGGTGAAATTTGTATTTCATTACATTACTTCTATTTTGGTTTTATGTGTTGTAGAGAATCAGCTCATGGGGAAATATGAATAATTAATCATAACTAGTTATAATTAATTATAAATATTTAG